TTGGTTGTGGCTAGCAGAGGAATCCAAGACATACATTGCGTCTTATTTGGAACTTATCAGCTGGATGTATCTGCAGGCAGTCGCGCTTCAGTGGCCTAGTGGAGAACGCTTTGGCATTTAAAGTGACGTTTACGGGGTTCGAGTCTCTAAAGGAACAACATCCCTCACTAGGGGAGCCTACGACAGGACGAAAGGTGCGTTTTGGATTCCTCTGCTAACCACAACTAGGTAAGTTATCATAAAGCCACCATCACTATTATTAAAGAAAGAAGAATAATTAATACCCATAATTTAGAGAACCATTAATCCTTCACAACTGTAATATTACATTAAATATGTCGTGAAATCAATTTTTGTTCACCTGAGATAAGAAGATCGCTTAATGTTGAGTTTTAATTCACTACGGTACGACTGACGTAAGTTGTCCATCATCGGGAATACGTCAGTAGAAATTGTAAATCATAGAAACGTTTTAATTAACTATGCAATCACAACTATCCTGATTAAACCTTAGTAAGTGAAATGTATTTGTTTCAATTCATAACTGAAGGAATTTATAGATCCAATGTGGTTTTCGACAAGATAATTAAAATTGAAAAGTAATAATATATAGAGTTGCATAACACTACATGCTTAAATTCTAATTTGTTGAAGGGAATTGGCAGGCAGCTCCGCGAGACCTGAGTTTCATCCCCGTTGGTAGTCGTCAGCAAGACGTACCTGCAACCTAGATAGAACTGAGTGTTTCATCTGAATCTTAAGCCTACCTCACCCAGTGTTGCACTCACCGACGTTACTGTTGAGGTATTCGGAACTCATTGCAAATTGACCAATAGAATTTTGTCAGTATTCAGGACTAGAGAACATGATATTGGCATCGCTCCAGTGACCAATCAACACTAAGTTAAGCTAGAACATCCAGTGGAAAAAAATATTTCCAACATAACTGAGTCAAACAACGGATATTCTGTGTATTACTGCTTTCAGCAACCACGCGCATTTTCTTGCATTACGCGATGATTTATGCATAGTTTATAAAGGATAATAATACTATCTGGTTGACTGAATCAGTTAGTGGTAAAGAGTTCAAGCCCGTGAGCAGACAGTTTACAGCAAACTGCTTAGACCAGCGGAGCATAGCTTCAAAAGGAATGAAAGAAGGTTGAAAAAGGTTAGTTACTACTACAACTCAGGAAAATGTATTTCCGTTCACGAATATCCTGATAAATAGAGAATGATCTTGTTGTTTGTCAACATAACAGTAGACAAGACGGTCCAGTGAATATGTGAAACTATAAGAAAATTGAGGTGCAGTTGATGTATTGCCACTTAAATTAATGAAAGTAATGCAGAACAGTAGGTAAATGCTAATTATATTGATCTTTGTGACTATCAGAGGAATACAGGATGTGCGTTTCGTCCTATTCAGGACTCATCAGCCGGATATACCTGGAGTGAGTGATTTCGTACTCTTCGCTTTCAACGGCATAGCGTTATCCACTAATAACAATAACAATTCACTTTATTCCAAACAATTTGGGATTTTCAGCATGATAAATTGCAACAACAAGAAGTATATGTATGTTTATACTCCTTTACATTTAAAATTGTGTTATCATTAAAATTTATTTCATGTAAAGAATATTAAAAACGAGAACATTTTACACTGTTAATTAAATTATTTAAATGAGATTTTTAACTGTTACAAAGTTGATATGTGAGCTTTATTTTTAACACTGAGGAGATACACGGAGACAGCTATAAATGAAGTGGATACTCAGTGTCAGTTAAAATTACTGTAGCTAGTTGCTTGCTAGAATTTAAATGTCTGTCAACTACAGAGGGTAACAATAAAGAATAAGTAAAATGCAGGAATTAATAAACTGTAAAAGAAGAGTTTGACTTATATCAGAGAGCGTCAGTTTCTTTATTTAGTAAGTTAAACGAAAGATGTTTTTACAAGTCAATAAGATATAAGACGACCGACATAGGTCAGAAGTAAAACACAACCCAAGATGGTTAACAATAGGTTTACTTTCTGCGAAAATACCATCAAAGTACCAGGCTTCATGAGACTTAAGCAGCTCACACAAGTTTTCTTTACGCCTGAGGCTAAAATTAACAGTCTAACATCTAGAAGGGTTTAACTTGAGATCACCTGAGGGAGACTATTGGTTAATAAGAGACAAAAATGCAATACACTGAGCATGATAGCCACCTTTTGTGCAGTGGGTATCAGTTGTTGCAGTGATACTTGTAAGTTCCTGTAGCCGTACAGGGCCGAATCGTTCGACCTCTGTTGGCTAATTATATGCTGTTTATATTTCAAAATTTCAATATTCCACTAACCAATACTATTGCCAAGTTTAACTTATTAATCGGAAGAAACTTTCGAAATCCCAAGCTGATATATTCAAAATAAAATGTCGAGGGACAGATAAATACGTTTTTGTTCATTTATTCATAAGTTTACATGTTTCATTGTGTCTAGCCTATAAAATCTTAAGGTTTTACGAATGAAGAAAACAATATAGAGTTGGTTGCAGAAAGATTTAACGATTGGACTATAAACATATCACGTAGAACGTTCAGGAAGTTGAATTCGTTGATTCTCTATGACCATAATTTAACTTACTTTCTATTCTTGCTTTAAATATAGTTTTCCTAATAGTAATAACCACGCATACATTAATGCTAACAGTACTGCACCAATCAGTGTCAATCACTTACTTAAGGGTAGTTTTCTCAGTCAACTTGGTTAGCTTTTTATTGTTTGAAACTATATTTTTAGTTTTAACAAGGGATGATCTTCAAATTCATAACCATTAGCTTTATTTTATACTTGTGTATATTCCATGAATACTATAAGACAGAGAAGATAACATCATCAAACGTCATCTGAGCTGTTAGTTGAATACATTGAGTGTTTCCATTAAATGAATTCTCGACTCATTCACTTGGTAACAAAACGAGAAATTTGAAGATTAAGAAAGCTTACGTGGATCATCATAATGAGTCTAAGAGCTGTAAAAGCTTTTGGCTGTCAATAACTTTCGAGATCGACACTCAATAGGAACTCATTAGAATGCCTACAGCACTTTTAGTTGACATATAATGCCGTAAAACGCTAAATAGAGTGACTCAGTTGATTATGTTGATCTGACCTTTAAAAAATATAAAAATGATATGGTTGCCTGCTTGAGCGTAGTTCCCAATGAAACAGTTCGGAGAAAAATGGAGTAGACTTCTAAAAAGTCAGTTTTGTTAGGTATCGCCCTTTCTGTAAGTTGAACAAATTCATCCAGGAATGTCATATCCACGGTTGTAGAATTTATTATGTATCAACAAGGTATATCACCTTATTCATTTCGCTTATGCCTGTTATTCACCCCAAATTTTCAAGACTTCTATTTCGAATGTCTGTCTGTCAGTTCTGGTGAGTATTCGATACAACTTTTACGTCCATACTTCTCATATATTGGTAGTACACAAACAAATGTTTAGTTAATGGATTAAAGTACTTTGCATTTTCTGCTGCAGATATGCTTAAGTGACCAGATCGTTTGTATAGCATTGCATTGTCAACAGTCACGGTTTTATCAATAATCTTTTTCACTTTGTTTTCTTATTCATTTGCACCAAACATTGCTTATTACTGAAATTAGGACGGGCACTATCAATCACTTTTAAAAATGACGATTAATTGAGAACCCACTTTGTCTACTACTGCTTTGGACCAAGTTTTCACATAGAAAGATAAAAATATATTTTATTCAACTCTACGCACCACTTAATATACCTTTTCCACAAACATTTTGCAGTAAACATCATTATATACTACTGCATACTTTGTACTATCTCAGCTTTGGTGTATACCACAAGTTAATAGTTTTTACAGCTCACAGAAGATTTCAACAGGGTGCTTATATGAAAGCATAAGATCAGTAGATAACAAGTTGATAATAATACGCTTGAAAGATAAGAACAAAGGAACCCGAATGAAGTTCGAGTTTCCTAAAACAAAAGGTAAAAGAGCAATCGTTTAGATCAACCAAGGAATGCGTTTTAAGTTATCAACAACCAGCAATTTGACGTACCGAAAAATTCGCTACAATCTTTAAAGAACATACAACCAAAAGATTCATCATTCTTCTCGTATAGTTGTCACATTATAACACAACTTAATACTAATAGAATGTTCATTGATACTATTTAGTTCCTTCAATCGCAGTAAATAACTAGAATAGTAATCTATGCTTTAATGATCTACGGCTGGTTGCATACACCCATATATATATATATATATATATATATATATATATATATATATATATATTGGATGATGATTCAAGGTGAAAGGAAAATCTAGACCACCACAGGATCGGAGCCAGAGTCCTCCGGGTATATTTCACTTCAATCGCCAAGGATTTTGCCCGATTACTATATGAGTTCATGATGGGTTACTATCGCTTAACCGAATTCGCACTAGCTGATCAACCAGGACTTCTCTTTCCAATCCAGATTGAGCTGAATTAGAGAAGAGAAGAATCACATTGGCTGACTATCAGTCCAGAAACTGGATGTTGCTGGTTCGATTCCTGTTGTGCTCAAGATGTTCATTTCACCTTCAATCATCATACAGTGTCAATACTACTATGGTAAACTACAGCCATCTTATATAGTCAAACTGATTATTTATATATATCTTAGAATCCTATATTCCATTTATCTATTCTAAAATTTTTATTTCCTTATAATAATATTAATAATAGTAACAATAGTAATAGTAATAAAATGTACCAAGTAAACTGTAGCAATAAATGCACTTCTATATGTTTATAAGTTTAGAAAAGTTACACCACATTAATTGAGAGAAGAAAAAAAGGATTTTATCAATATGACAAATACGAAAAATAATAACTCAGTACACTGAGATAAATAAATAAATATTAGTTAATTAATGAAATGCACTTTCAACAATTTTAAAACTAACGAAGAATAATTAATCGAAGAAAAAAGAATCCCTTTAAACTAATGTGTTGCGTAGAATTCTATATTATTTATTATTGCGTATTTATCTACTAGTGTAAACATTGACTAAACTATATATCCTTGTTTTGTTTTGAAAAAATGCATATAAAAAGATATTTAACATATTAAGGGAATAAATATTTAGCATTTTCTAAAAAAAAATTATACACTTCAGTCAAGTTTGAATGAAGTTGTTGAATATTGAGCAGTTATTAATATTATTCCTACATTTAGTTAGTTGGTCTAAATGTCTTGGAAATACAATTCTGTTAGCAAAAGAAAGTGAAAAATATCAACAACAATTACAAAGACCTATTGAATATTATGCTGATAGTAGTTTGCTACAACAATCTAATGGTCTTATGGGTGGTGAGTATTATTATTATCATGTGGAACCTTACACCGGTAGTATTGAAGGTGAAATCGTTACGCCAACTGAATATCATCCAGAAATAGAATATCAAGCTTATAATGATGTCAGTGGTGTACATTATGTACCAGTTGTCTATGACAATAAATATGTTAGTTATGTTGACGGAAATAATGAACAGCAAAGCTATACACCACAAGAATATGTAGTTGAATATTCTCAGCAATATCCAACTCATCAGTATGAAACATATACACCTGCGCAATATGAAGTTGTAAGCTCTGTGGATTACCCAAGTCAAAGCTATGAAAGATATACACCAAATGTATATGGCACAGAAAGCGTTGAACATCATCCAGGAAATAAGCAAAAAGAGTATGGACCAGAGGTAGTTGAGGTCAAAGATACTGAATATTATTCAGATTATGCACATCAAAAGTATACACCAAAAGAATATGAAGTAGGTGTTGAATATTACCCAAACTATGCTCATGAGACGTATACACCGGATCAGTATGAAGTAAAACGTATTGATAGTTACGCCATACACAAACCGCAAAAATATCAACGAAGAGACATCAACAATTACAATATCTACCATCAGCGACGAATTCCTTACAATATGCGTACTAGCCTTAGCAATAGAGGTAATGATTATTATGACTATAATTCACAAGCAGATTACAGCTATGATGACTATGCTGAAGAAAAGTATAGTCAAAATGAACAGGTGCCAGATTACTACAACTTACCATTAGCTTCAAATAAACATGAGACGTATACACCGGATCAGTATGAAGTAAAACGTGTTGATAGTTACGCCATACACAGACCACAAAAATATCAACGAAGAGACATCAACAATTACAATATCTACCATCAGCGACGAATTCCTTACAATATGCGTACTAGTCTTAGCAATCCTAAAGGAAATGGAGGTAATGATTATTATGACTATAATTCACAAGCAGATTACAGCTATGATGATTATGCTGAAGAAAAGGATAGTCAAAATGAACAAGTGCCAGATTACTACAAATTGTCATTAGCTTCAAATAAACACCAAAAGTATATACCGAACAAAGTGAATAATTTATATGATTACCTACCAATAGATGATAAATTGTATGTGTTTTATCCAATAGACATGAAGGAATCTCAATATAAAGCAAAAAAAATTTATGCAAATCCTTATGATTATATCCCTCAACCATCAATTAGAGTAACAGCAGAAAAAAAGAAAAATGGTCGTTTCAAAAACTTATTTCCGAAAACATTTCAACGTTATCGGCAATTGAAGTATGAAAATATTTACAAATCTGATAACTATCAACAAAATTATCTTTATCAACGTAATACACCTTCAAAGTACTATTCAGAACACTCAAAACCTTTTTATAATTCAGAAACGCATAAAGTGAAATATAAACCGGTAAGCAGTTATAATCCATCGATTGGTTACAAAACACAAAGTAATTATAACCATGACAAAGAATCCTACAATAATAATAATAATAATCATAATAATGATAATAATAATAATGTCAATATTAACAATTATTATGCACAGAAATATCATGCACCAAAACGTTTCAGTCATAATGGTGGATATTCAGATTTACTGCATTACAGTCTACTTGATTTCGGTAGTTCCGAAAAAACAACAGATTATGAAGAATTTATTTCATATCATCATAGTGGACATCAAGGACCAAAGGGGAAACTTAAGAATTATTCATGTTATGACATTTATAGTAGAATGAAACATTCGGATAGGTCAAGAGTTGGGAGAGAAATAAGAAAACCAAAGGATAGAATAAATAATTATGAATATAATGGTTGTCATCCTCATGGTGTAAAGTATAAAAGAGATTCATCTAACAGATATCCAAACGATTATCGGTATACGGAAGAACAACGAAGCAAACTAAATAAACATTATGCTGATAATGGATATCATGTAAGACAACAATATGAATAACATAAATATTGTCGGCGTTATGGTTACTAGTCAAAACTAACAAATAATAAAACAATGAAATTTATTATAATTTTGATCTTTCCTAATAAATGGATTCAATTAATGTCTACTCTGTATTTAAATATGTGTTATTTTTCTTTAAACGTTTAACTTATTATCATATATGAAGAGAAAACATTTGAATAGTTTTTCAAAGAATGAAACATCTAACTGATGAATATTTGAAGTTGTTAATCAGCTTATCTTTCTACAGCTTGCAGTTTTTCTTTGGCATCTACAACTTAATGAAGAAATGTGTTAGATACATGGTATGTAAAATATCAGCATTAGAATCTTAAAGAGAAGCAAATAAATATCATTTCATTCATATGAATAAGATTATATTATTATATTATTAGTCCCTTGGGTTCCTAATGGAACATAGGGCTGCAGTAGCACGTCTCCATTCCACTCTGTTCTCTGAAATCTTTTCAACCTGGCTCCACGACAGCCACAAGCTCTCATTTCCTCCTCGCACGATCTCCTCCATGTCACCCTCACCTCGGACACCCAACTCGTCGCTTCCCATGGGGACTCCACTCGAGGGTCTGACGCGTGATGTCTCCAGTCGGCTTTCTCAGTGTATGCCCAATCCATCTCCACTTCCTTCTACATATTTGTTGAGCGATAGGTTCTTGGTTGGTTCGTTGTCAGGCCAGAGTTCCTTGTTGCTTATTCTTTCTGGCCATCTGATCTTCAGTAGCGAGCGTAAGCAGTTGTTGATGAATGTCTGTAGTTTATTGGAAATCCCTTTCGTAACGCGCCAAGTCTCTGAACCATATAGAAGCACTGACTTGACTGACGTCGGTGTTGACAATCCGGATGTTGTTGCACATGCTGAGTGCAGAAGATCTCCACACTGGTTTCAGGCTAATGAACGGCTGTCTTGCTTTTCCGATTCTGACTTTGACATCCTCGTCTGTGCCGCCACCTGTAGCTGAAACAGTGCTGCCTAGATAAGTGACGGAGGTTACTTCCTTTAAGTTTCTCCCGCTGATGGTGACTGGATTTTGTTGTTGGAGTTCAACTATAAAGCATAACAACTATACAAAGATTGAAATTTGTATCAATGAGTGCCTAAGTCATACAACTTATGATTTTTAATCTATATTAGATAACACTCAACCCATCAGAGATCATATGAAAAACATATCAAGTTAGTTTGTGTAAATAACAGTTATTTATCTTGAGATTGTTGTCAATCGTGAACTAATAGACTATAGTAACGACCTCAATCATCTTAACATACTACAATCATCATTCTTCTGAATAATGATTTTCTTAGTGTAACAGTTCGAATCAAAAGGTATCAAGTTTATTCAATTTTTCACGAGTTAACTGTCTTGGTCGTTTAGTAGACTAGTTCTACTGACTGATGGTGACGATTGAAAGAGGAATGAAAACCTAGGCCACGAAAGGACTCCGACCAGCGACATCCGCTTTTCCAACCTGATGTTTAACCAACTGATCTAGTGAGGTTCAGCTGGTGACTAGATTCTAATATCAATTCAATCACTGATTATGAGATATATACATTTTGTAGTAAGTCCTTTGACTGTGAACTATTAGTTAGTTTAATTATGAATCCTTCTATGTGAACTAACTGGTGGTTACAGAACGAATGGAAACAACACAATAAGTAGTTCGTTGTAATGGATGCAGTTTTATCTACCAGATTATAAATCTTTTCGTGAATAGCATATTCATCGTACCGACTATATAGCAAGTTAAACGTGTGATTATATATGTCGGATGACCTTATGTCATTTTGAATTATACTCTAAAATGCAAACGTATATATATATATATATATATATATATATTTGGATATTTTTAGTACCCATCAAAGATCGACATCAGTTAGAGACCTTGATGGGTAGTCACGATAAATAACAAATTGACAGAAGTAGAAAACAATGGACCATCGAACTACAACGCAGTGGTTGAAAAATAAATGCATTTACCGTGAGACCTGAAGGCCCTGAGTTCGATCCCTGGCAGGGTCGTGTGTGCGTATTGCTAAACAGTCTCGTACTAGGATGAAGCATTTATGCAGTACTGCCAGATTTTCAATGGATCTCCAAGTAATGTCAGTGAGTAATGAATGCTATCTTAAAAATTAAGATATATGTTGACGTGTAGAAATACAACAGTTTATTTCCTATGTCATTAGAACCAGGTGATGTTTCCGGCCATAATTGATACCTTGGCGACTTTATAATTGTGTAAATCATGAAAGATGTTTCACAGAAACAACTGCACATTACCAAAGTGAATTGAACCGTAATGATAGCACACCTTGGCATGGTTGTTTTCAACCTTTCAAGCAATTATCTGAGTTCGAAGGGACTCAAAGAATAAGCGATAGACCCATGCCACCTCCAGCGGTTTACTGTTAAGGGTGATATCTGACCATCATGATGAATTATTCGTCAAGTTACAACTTGGTTCACGATCTGCTACTTCTCAACTGAATTATATCATTTTAGAAAAATCAGGAAGTGACTAACTCAATAATTCGATTCATTCATTTTTCACTTCTGATCAGAAGCGGTCTAAATGGAAATCAGCATTCTAAGATATCAGACACTAAGGTAAAAGTTTTGAATTTCAACCCTGTTTCATATTACTGTCTGGGCTGGGAAAACCCATCAGCTGACCAATCAAAGTAAGTAACCAAATTCTGACCTAAAGGAAAAGGTGCATATAGATAATGTGTTTTCGTCAAACAAAGTGTCTTCCTAACATTCACAGAGAGTGGTGTTTATCTTCTGATTTTCGTGGCTCAGTGAAGTATGTGGTTCCAAAGGAGAACACTTGGCATCTATATCCAATAAGTTAATCGGATCTTCATATTTCGTCTTTTTTCAGTCACTTCAACTTAAAAAGGCTTAATGTATACTCGAAATGAACTTCAATTAACAGGTGAATTATCTATATGGAAAAGGAATCCCATCGAAAAACCGATTAAATGAATAACCAAAATGTTTTATTCAATATAAAGTATGAAGCAAAAAAAAGGAATGAAAAGGAAAAGTGATTATTATCTAGAGTTTTACACAAGTAGGCTATAAAAAAACCCAGAGTGATACACACAAAGACATTGACAGTTCTAATACGAGTTGATAGAAAATGAAGACATTCTCATCAAAATTCCCTTTGTCATCAAAATAAAAGAAAAGAAGGGAGAGAAAAATGCTGGAATTATGCTATCACCAAAAATTAATAATAACAGCAGATTACAGAAAATTATAAAGATGAAAAAAAGATTTTCTTTTCTTTTCTAAATGTAAAAATTAAAACAAAATGTAAATAATATGAAATTGAATAGGCGGTATAGTCATTTCTGAAACGTTACAAGAAGCATAAAACATCAACAAACGACAATGTGTATAAGATGAAAAAAGTTTGCCACGGAATCAAATATCCACACACAAGTATGTGAATCCATTAAAAACCTGGGAAATATTATACATTACTTAATGTATTACAAGGAGAACGAAGATACAAAAGATTAACAAGACGTATACACAATAATTGAACAAGAAAAAATATATATAAAGAAGTATTAGTGAACAGTCGACTGTTCCATTCAAAACATTAGTGAGCGTCAAAACAAGACAACAACGACACAAGAAACCATTATCATCAGAGACGGATTGCTTAACACAGAACAGGAAGGAGAGACAAGAAACTATTTTGTCTGGTCAACAAGTTAAAAACACAATCATCCGGTGGCATTGATTCCCTTAAGTCTGTGACCAAAGAAAAAGGTGGCAGTTAAAAATTAGAACACTATCTGGTTATTCAAGCTTATTATTCGTACAAAATAATCAATAATAACTTTAAAAAGAGATCTAATAAACCGGGAGAAATTTGAAGTAGAAGTGTAACCAATCAAAAAAACAGTCAAGGTTGTAGATTAAGGTGGAGAACTAAAACACATTGACAATGGAGGAAGACAAAATGACTAGAAAAACAGTTAAATATGACATTTAAAAGCATTGAATAGCAAAAAAAATGTTTGTATTTATTTAACAGCAGTAGATAGGCTAAGAGAAGATAGTATATATAAATTCTGTGCACATTTTCTGCCATTTTTTTGATAATCCAAAAAGAAAGAATGGAATTCATTTAAAGATATCAGATAAAGCAAACATACAACTGATATAAATAAATAAGTAATCGACACAGATACATAGAATGTGACAGAAGGAAATAAAAGTAGAGATTTACTAGTGCTGAAGACAATTTCAGAGTGACAAGAGAAAAAATAACCATATATGAAAAATACAAAAGAAAACATATTCCAATTAATAATATATCAAGTAGAAGAGATTAGATTAATCATATCGATGGTTGATATAAACTGATTTGTAAGAAATAAAACAAAAGGGCTGAAAATTGAACTAGTAAATAAATAAATAAATGTGATACGTTAAAACAAAATTGAGTATTTCAATAGATTCAAGTCATATCTGAATAGTGTATTTAATATTGACTACTACACACACAAAAAGAAAGCAGGAAGTGAAAGAAAATTGTTTCTTTCGATAATTTATTTACTATAATCAAAAAAATACACTTAATTATAAATTAAAGAGGAAGAAAAAACAAAGAAATAAGCAAGAGATCATTTCATTAGCTTTTAATAAACAAAAGCAAAGCAGAGTACATGTATTCATTAGAGTGTATACACAAAGATGTAATCAATTATTTTCAGAAAGGCGATTACGACGCGGATGAACTTCTGCTTGTAATGGTTCAGAGATTAAACCTGCAAGCGGAAAAAAACAGAAGGAAACAACAACAGTATTAGGGAACATGAAGTGTGTGTGTGTGTGTGTGTCTATGTGAGAGAATATCAACCAGGGGACTTGATATTACTGAGCAATGGTCCTAGTTGATTATACTGCATTTATAATATGATGCAACATTAAACTAAAAAATATTGTTAACGTAACGTAGTAAGTAGACTATTCAACTAGTCTTTTTATATTCGAAAGACAAATAGAATTGGTGAAAAATTACTAGTCTAGTTGGGTTGCAAAATTTCACTATTAAGTAGTAATCCTAGTTGAATAACTTCATGAATATACATCTATCAGTTTGATTATCTGAGACGACAATGACTAGACAGAATGGCATTTTTAATACATGATGGTTGAAGATGATGTGAATTCAAACCTGCAACTTACTGCCTCGGGGGGCTCTACCAACTGACCTACGAGACCCAACTGCTGATTAGATCTTTACTTCACTTCAATCACTAAGGGTTTTTCCCGACTGTTATATGAGTCATTGATGTGGTACTATCGCCTGATCACATTCACACTGGCTGTCCAGTCAAGACTTATCATCCCAATTCAAATCAAGGCGAACAAGAGAGGAGGATCATATTGATTATCAGTTTGACTATTTGAGATAACTGTGGTCTAGCAAACTTGTATCAGTGATACTAGGTAATGAACAAACCCCTTGTCTTCGCTCAATTACACTTATAAATTGACCTAATTTTTCCAGTCCTAATCAATGTGACTAACGTAAGTATGTTCGCGTTTGATGGAATTACCAAGACAGCCATGTTGAGATAAGACGAAGGATAATAGGCAAGAGAGCCAAGTCGGTTGACAAAGTTGTGAACCTTAGTCGACTGCGATGGCTAAAAATGCGCTGAGCATGCCAAGCAACCACTTACCTCAACGTACAACGCTAAGGGGAAGTTGGAAAAGGTTGGAAGAGGGTTCACGGTGGCCGGACCAAGATTTGACATCAGTCGATGAAATCTCTGTCTACCGGTTTGAGTCGTGTGGGTAGATGTAGACTGCTTGGTTGGGGTCCCTAAGAAGATAAGAATCGGTGTTTGAAAACCGTTGATGGCTGAAAATCGGTCACAATGGTGCAGATGTATTCACTCCTCGATGTCTTCTAAAGCTTGAGTATTTGCATTCTTCGTTATCTTCCGACTGTTTATTCTTTCATACAACTTGGTCATCCTTTTTCTGTCCACCTATTCTTTGAGTACCACTGTGAAGTATGACAACTTGGACCGATGTACTTGTGTGCGAGGTTTCACGTTAATTTTGTCTGTCTGTCTATGTGACCAGTAGTTAACCTATTACTACTTCGGTAAACAGATAATTCAAATGATGAGTGACAACGAAGAAATGTACATCATATTCCAAATAGTAAACTTTAGATGATTGCTCCAGTGTTTTACCAACTGAACTGCAAAACGCAGACACTACATTGTCTTTCTCAGCTGACAAAACAGTGTACGGACAACATCATTCTGGTCAAAAGTAGTGGAAAGTTATCGAAAGATGACAGGAGGGAATGAGATAATAATTAAATTTAGTATGAAGATAGGGATGAATATAATGCAGGGATACATCTGAGCTACTGACGTAATTTCCTGAGCCATACCACCTACAGTCACTAAACGCAGATTTCGATGGTCCCATGGGCGCCAACTGAAAGCCTATATTTCCCTACAAAACAGAAAGAAACGGTTTAACGCTTTATGGACTGATGGATATACTACCTATAACCTATTTCCAGCCTGAACACCTATTTCACTTAACAATGTGCAACGGGTTAGACGGTGACTCATGTCGCATTCACCTCAGTCGATGGAGGTTCACAACCTCATCAGCTGACTTCCCTCTTCTGTTGATAACTCTACGTCTGATATTTATGTCACTGACATGGTGACACGACGACACACGACCTATGTAATGAAGGCGACGATAGAGGAACACTTGAAGCCTCTTAATTTCCTTTTTTTCAATGGTTAAGTTTCACAACCACATAGTAGAGTGGAGTGAACTGCAGCACGGTATATTCGACTCTTAATAGCCAACCAGATATCATGACGGTGCGATAAATGGCATAAGTTGGAAAAGATCCAGTAAAACTTAAGCACCGGTGGAGAGGTTTCATAGGTCAATGGCCATGCTGTTTTGGGAACTGAATTATAAAGAACAAATTATCCGCACTTAGGATTCACTAGACCTAATACTTCACGAGGACGCAAGGAAAACAAGGATTAACTGTCATACGTATATTTAAAGTAGTCCCATCAAATAGTTCACACACGCTCAATCATATAATACTAAATACTTACATTTACACTTAGTTCAAATAATATAGACTCATTTTTATTCCAATTGATAGCCAACACGATTATAGCATTAGTTAGTCACAGAGAACAGTGATAGCCGGTGAGAATTTTGTTATACATACGAGCGCTACTCATGATTTGACCAGACATAAACCAATGTATGCTTCATATATCTGTCTTGACTATTACAACTCATTACACTAACCCACCGTGCTTGACAGAACTTCCAAGTAGGTGAAAATAGTCGATGTACTCAACTACTTAGAACTCTGTTTTTAGACAAAACACTAAAGTATACCACTACTCAGGCAGCAACAATTCGCGTGTAGATGGAGAAAAACGCATTCCAAGCATAGTCAAATTACCATTTAATGTGTCCAGAAGACTCCATCTTATCAGCATCTTCGCCTAGAAAAGATTGTCATTTACGTACTCTATGTCTACTACGGAGTCTTCCGAGTTGGTAAGCGTGCCTGTGTTCCAGAACTTTTCAGAGAATGAATATCTAGTCGATACACACATAACTAGGTTTGAAACCTGTCTAACTTTCTCGGGTTGGGTGTTTCAGAGCTCTACTCAGATGTCTAATAATTAAGAAAGCTGGAATCCTAAGCACTACGTTGGTCAGATTGCTTCCACTGGAGCTATCATAGGAGATTTTCGCTCCTTTATTTAGGACTGGAACAGTCACTGACTAAGACCAGTCAGAGGGTTCATATTTAGTCCCCATACGCTAAGTAACTTAACCAGTAATCTTAGACCAAAGTCCATAAATAATTCTGGTATTAACCCATCTGGCCCGTCTATCTCCGCACATTTCAAGTCACTTATAGCCTTCTTAAATACTGCAATAGTTCCAGAGTCTGTCTCCATGTTTAGTTAAGGATTCAATTGGAAAGTGGGTAACAGAATAGTAGCTGGAGTTCAAACGAACAGTTGCTCATAGAGCTTCGTTCACCACCTCAATCATTTTCCCTTCAAATCAGTCGCAAAACTGTTTCTCCGCTATCGTTTCATTAACCATTGACTCTTTTACCCAGGTTTTCTTGGAGTCTAAATAAATACCTTCTATAACTTATCGTTGTGGCCTTTTCCATTTCTTAAGCCTTTACCGTCTCTACCACTGATTACAATCATTCAGTGCGCTTTCTGCCAGTCCATGATTCAGTTTCTTCCGCTCCTCATTATCTTCAGAGTCAGTAGGAATGCGTTCACGTACATCCATTAGTTCACATATAGTAGCTGAGATCCACTGACCTTTCCTGATACCTTTTTGAGTCAGTTGCAGTCAAAATAAAGAGGAAAATGTAAAAGTATCAAAATGCAAAATTAGTAGTGTTTGACTAAGATGAACAGTCAACTGCATACTCGTCATCTGAAATTCGCGTCGTGAAAAGGGGATGAGATGAAGGAGATTGTGTGAATAAACTTGAAGATGCTATCAAGCATAACGAATGTATTACATTGGTTTCTTTTAAGTTTTAAATATTTTGTCACCTTTTAATTGTTCATTCCTAATTATTAGATCTTATTTTGTCCATACTGTTGATTTTTCTATACTGATAAGCTATCTATAATGACTTGCAATATAATGGTGAATAGGAAAGAGTAATCAAATGATGACAGAAATCGGATAGAAAATTCTTCTTCTAATCAAATCATAAAATATATAAATGAAGTGTATTTGATTTCCAACCTTGATAACATTTATGAATTCTGCAGTTTATTCTTAGACAGATAAACAGACAGTCAGAATCAACGTCTAACCTAGCACACAAGTGCATCGGTTCAAGTTACCACACTTCACAGTGGTATATACCGATAGCTATAATGATCCAAAAGGCTACAGTGGCGAAATGCTTGTTCCTTCAAAGCCCTATCATACCAAAACGACCTGTTGAATAATGGATAGATAAAAAACAGTAACCATTATTGTATACATTTCTACGCTATGATGAGGGTCTGAGAGCAAAGTCGTACTGCTGACTGGATGGGGATGTGACAGCAATAACCACCAGTGACACACTTTATGCTACCTTTCCTATGGCAGGGAGGGGTCAGAAAATTTCAGTCCCAAAAAAAGTACACCCACCCATCGCGGCATGACTATATCCGCGACAAGGATTCAAAGGCAAAAACCAGAAATATCGAATTTGCAAAAAATACCGTGTGTGACCGACCTCAAGTAAATATCCCTTCATTTTCAGAACTAGCTTTCCACGGTTTAGGGAGTCGAGAATTGTTAACTGCTCCCACGCTTCCAGCACGATGTCAACAGTGAGTCATTTTTCCACACATGGGAAATTATTTTATTAAAATCAAAGTGCACTGGGAACGGCTGTTACAAAATTGTTAGTGGTTATGATCAGGGTTTGAGGGGAAAAACAATTATACCTTATCTGGTTCATTTTTTTTGAATAACGATAGAGTATAAAGTAAGTATCAATTATTCAATTGGAAAATACACTTTCAGAAGTTGTTTTTCTGCAACCACTGTAGAATACGTTTTGTCGTCGTATACATTCATCAACGAGTGCAACTATTTATTAGCTTTTCTATACTACACGGGTAATGATTCGATCTGTGTTGGATAAATGTTTTGAAAGATGGCAAGAAGTAAGACAATAGGATAACCTTAGGCAAATTTCTTAAATGAGCAGACGAAATAGGTTATAATTTCATGAATACAACATACAATAAAAGAAAACACAAAGTAACATTAAATTAGTATTCATCAAGCACTATCAGTTGAAGAACCTTTGATAATCTGGGAGCATTGAAAAGCTGTTTCGTTCTAGTATGGAACTTCTTCAGTAGTATGTAAATACGACTCCATCAGGAATCAAACAATGGACCTTTAGGATTTACAGAGAACGCGTTGACCATTCAGCTAGTGAGTCCCAGCTTAACGCTTCACTGTTCCCTACTCCTATCAATTTGTAATGTAGTGCGACTATATATAATCCTCATAAGTGACATGCTTCTAGATGGATATCCCGAATTTCTAATGAGAAGCAATGACTTGTGGGATTAACCAGTTGTAAGTGAAGCAGATAGAGACTGGAAACCCTGGTGGGTGGTTACGTTATATGACTAGTTGACGTAAGTCAAAAACTGTGGACCATTGTGCTCCAAATAGCTGGATGCTTAATACATTCGCTCCGACATTTAGAGGTCTTCGACTCGACCTATAGCGAGGTCGTGGATACGCACTGCAGAGGAGACTCATTATGAAAACGATACAACCGTCCAATGTACCCAGTTTTTCAGTAGTGCTCCAACTGATGTCAGTCAGTGATGAATACAACCTTAGAAATAAAGTCCTCATATACTCCAAACTACAAAACAACATGTAAACCAAATAAGAAATTGAAGTTACCTGCAAGAATCTCATCCATCATTCCATCACCAGTAATTTGTCTAGTACGATTTTTAAATCGTCGTTTAGCCATTCTAGCTTCTTGCGCCAGACGTTTCTAAAGTTAATCAATGGATCAAAATAAATAAATAAATGAAGAGTATGAATGAATCAGTTTGTGATAGAAAACGACATATAAGCTAAAAAGGCCGACTGGGTAATTGAAAGCATAAATTATGCGCGGAAATCATAAGATACAACTATGAAATAAATCTTTACGTAACAAGCACTGCATAAATCTACTTTTTTCTGAAGATAATCTTGCGACAGCTTTAATAAATGCACCAAGAAACCAATTTTACCAGAAGTAAAAGCAGAATAAATATTTATTATTACAAACATGTTACTTGTAAGTAGGTTGTGGGAGATAAAGTAAATTCAATACGGAAATATTTAAAAAACGTTCAAGTTTACAGAGGCCACAGGTCTGTTCGTGAACTTAAAGACGGTAAACATACCAATTGTAACCTCGCAAATAATTTAACGTATACACGCTCAAAACAGAGGAAATGATCGAAATAGGCGTGACAAGAGGCGACTATCGTTCCCGTGAAGTCTTGTGTGTAACACTGATTTGAAGCCATGGGTACGAGATTCGAGACACAACTCCCTTGTGGGCATGTACATCCAGCTGATGGGACCCAAATTGGACGGAACGCGCGCCAATTATATCCGTATTCATTTTTTTTTGAAATCCAAAAGAAGATATCAACGATCATAGAACAAAAACTAATGAACGAGGCATCCGCAGAGGGGCCCACCTGCCAAGAGAGTTCAAGCAAGTCGTCAACGGGAATTTACAAGTATCATTACAACAACTGATAACCGTTGCACAAGAGGCTGTTTTCGTGCCCTAGTGGATAACGCTCTGCTGTTCGAATCAAAGGGTACTGAGTTTGAGACTCAGTGGGAACATCACTCACTGACGTGTAGGTACATACAGCTGACGAGTCTCAAAGGGGAAAAACAAGTGTCTTGGACTCCTCTGCTAGTCACCTAAATCAAAGTTACGAACTAAATACTGAAAATTTTGGAGTGTTTAAAACTGTCAAAGGCAGATACACAAAACTAAATGCAGTTATTTATTTTCAAAAATATAAACATTTAAATCCCTTTGATGAGTAGACGATAATTACGATGATAACAACCTATATACTATTAGTAATACTATGTATACACAAAAACGCTCTAGAAAAACTCTATTATGCAATACAGCACACAACAGATGATATGTCAGAGAGATTATATATGCACAAAATTCCCAATGTTTGTAACAATACAATATATTAAACAGTACCGATTTCAGTCGACAAGGTATGTCGTTCTCTAAAGTAAAGGATTAACCGAGCATGGAACCGAAATGAAATGACATATGATAGCTAAAAACTCGTAGAATAATCTCTTATACTATATGTAAAGTGGAAAAATGAAACTTGTATATTACCAGCATTGATAATACTGGTATAAATAGTGAAGGGTGATGATAACGTTTCTTCGTATGCCGGAAAAAAGTTAGATATATTCAAGATTTCAAACAGACTCATTATGTTCTTACAAATAGCATTTGTAAGAAGAATGCAATAAAGACGAGATGACAAACAACAGTGGGATGTCACCGGCAAGAGAAGTGGATCGTTTTTTATTGATAGCTTTTCAACAACCCTTCGATATCATGAAGGACTCAGTAGTGCTTATAATTATATTGTAGTTACCTCCCAAAATAGATTTTTAAACGCAATCTGAGGACTATTCAGTATTAAAAACTAGTTATAACAGACCTGTAAACAATTTCTACCAGTTATCGATGATTTCTATAGGAAAGCATCTGCCTAACCAGTATGAAGTGCCGATAAAAGAGAATGTATCACATAATTTGTACAAAACAAACTTGAAATAGCTACAAGTTTCTGAAAAACTAATTGAGAATATATACTGTAGATGTTTAACCATTGTCTCCTTCAATGAGAAATGCTTGATCAAGTGGGAGCTCCACGATGAAGCATTTCTGTATATTCCCCATCAAAACATGAAGCACTTCTATGAAATTACTAACCATTAAATTAGGCCCCATAGACTTAGTCAGCAAAGATCAGCCGTTGATGATTATAGGCGACAGGTTGTATAAATCTAGCAATGTGCTAATAGGAAAAATGACAGAATTACTGTGCCCATGTCTATCGAATTCGCTAAATAGTAAGTGGGGAAAATGAGGACTTTATGGGAAATTACGCAATTCGTACGAAAACTAGTTATGAAATGTCAAAGTTAACAACTTACATGTTGAGTATGAAGAATACATGTGGCTTATTGGCTCAGATACTCGACTGTCGAACAACAGGATTCTGGATTCAAAAATCGCTCCAACTACTTCAGCCTAGACAACAGCGTAGAATCATAATCCCTTACACACGATAAGTGTGGTGTTCATAGCCTAGTACACCAAACTAGTGTTCAACCGGAGTATACTAGTGAAAAGAAGCAACACTTAATCAAATCTGAGTTTCAGTTCTTTCAAATACACAGATACACAAACGTCGAATGAGTTCAGCTTAAACGTTTTGAACACCTAAGCTGGATACATATAGTTTACTTTGTAAACTCCTTCACTGATTTAGTTGAATAACTTATTCAAGCACTGATAGTAACTATCTGTTACGGATAGAAAGACTCTTAGCAAGAAATGAAAACGAATTTTTTCTGAGCATTTTCTATGTGTATGCCACAGCTTCTTCCGTAGAAAGGGCTGTATCAACTTCTTTCCAAACTGACTACATCATACAAGATGTCCAATTTTATTTAGTTCACAGTGATATAATTATAATTTCGGAACCGTTCAAACTGCGTTCTAAGTTGTTTGGAGTATTTTATCATTACGATATAACAGTTAAACTAATAGACGTTGCATCATTTTTAAATTAGGTGGTTTATGAGAAATCGACTAACTTCTCTATGGTTTTAGGTATGAACTAACGTCAATTAGAAAAACGCCATTAATTAAACATCCCAAAACATCTACCTTGTTTCACTTTCAATTTTTCTAGAAGTATACATTAATGAGATTCGTAATTGGCTCAAAGCAAAAATTTCATGAGCATTAGGTTAGAATTTGAACGTTCGCATTCTATTAGGCTTCTGAATTCAGAAACACAATGTAACTAACATGTACTGCTGACTGTATTGAAAATCAATCAGATGAAGAATAATTTTAACCTAAAATCAATTCATAAACCTCCACAAACCTCCAGATAGAATTTATCTAGTACTCAGTGATGATTAACTTTGAGATATGATTCCTCAAGTTCCAATGAGAAGTCGTGAGCAATGGAGTCAACCAAATAAAACATGAGGACAGTTACTCAACGACAACATTGGATGTAGTTCGCGCTATATCGTGAACTGATAGAAGTAGGAAAAATGGAGAATTGGATTGTGATCCAGTGGCTCAATGGTAACGTGCTGGTCATGAGACCTGAATGTTCTGGGTTCGATTTCTGGCGAGGTCGTGAGTGCGCACTGCTGAGGAGTTCCATACTTGGATGAAACTGCTGCGGAAAGTTCCCAGGTTCCCAATGTTCTTTGAACGGATGTCAATTCATGATAAATTGCAACCTGAAATCAGTTATTAAACCTCCAGATAGAATTCAACGTTAAATTACTGATTAACCTAAAGATCGAAACTTATGGGGTAATCCAGCAGGAGCCAATAGAAATGCTAAGACGTTAGTTACTCATTTCAGGGCATAGAACAGTACCAAATCTCAATTTCATTACAACCTACTACTACTCCAACGTATCCAGATGCCTTACACATCAAAGTTGCCAGTTTTTACGAGTTCACAACAACACTGGCCAACTTGTATTCATTGTATCACGCTTCAAGATGAATAACTCTATTGTCATCTTGGTGGTTCCACTACAGTAGAAAATGAAGCCACAATCAAATAACTGTAGCATCTTCATCTCCTACAGCCGAAAAATATAGGACAAAGAACTGCTGTGTTGTTTTCTCAGACTTTGACAGGTAATTCAATGACCGCCCTCATAACAAACAGCTTACTATGGTGAATCCAAAACCAACTGCATATCATTAAACTAAGAAGGAGAAAATTTAGGTTCCAGAGGAGATGGAAGGTAAAACTAAACACATTGAACTATAAAGTAAATAATATTTAGATAGAGCATAGTCTTACTGGCAATAAGTATAAATAAGTCTAACAATAGGTCAATTCGGTCCCTTAAAATGCCCCACATCCCAATGGAAACAAATCAAACATTAGGTAAGCAAACTAAAGAACATGTCATGGCTGTGAAGAGTTAACCAAAGAATCAGAGAGATCCCAACAACCAGATACACATGTGATCGAAAAGAAACTTAATCAAGTTAAAGCATCTCATCTCACAAATGTCCACGCAACACATTAGTATCAGCAGACTCCAAAAGAAAATACCGGATTAGTAAAAGGGACACATAAAGTCAGATTTCTTTATGTCTATCAAATATTGTAGAAGATGGATGATCCATAGCCTGATGATATCGAAGCATTTTCCAAACACAATTATAGCAAAGTGAACAAAGTACTTCGAACATAAGTGCCATGAGGTACAAATACGTGTTACCATATCTAAAAAGTACAGAAACAGCTGGCATTACATGAATCATACTAATCGTAAAGAGAAAACTAGAAGAAAGTCAATTAGTTACACATTTAGTCATTTATTTCAAGTAATCATGTTGAGAAATACTTTAAAAACACTTCCCCCTACCTTTTGTGATGATAACATATAGTACACTATTAAGTGTAACTTCAAATTATCTCATAATGGGACGATAAGTGAACTAAGGAGGAAAATATACATCAGGATTTCAACCAGTGACTATTACTATGACCACATTTTTCTGTTTGCATATCAAATTCTGGCCTTATCAAGATTATAAATAAACGGAAAACAGGAATAACACTAACAACATATGAATAAGCGTTCAGTGTTGAACAAAAAAATAAATTGGGACAGGATATCACTAACCGTAAATAATCGTAAACTCTAATTACATGAGGA